TAGTCTCACATATTTAGTTCAATTTTGAAATAATCATATTAATATATAATTTTTTGAAAAGATATTGGCTAGATTAGAAAAAAAGTGGAATGATTGAGAGCAACTGCTTTTTATTTTAGCATGTTTATTATATCCTAACTATCAATTAACTTACTTTAACAATATATTAGAAATTAATTATTCAAAATTAGAATTACTTTTAAAGTATTACTACAAAGCTTGGTTTGAAGAAAATCCTAATTGTATTTTAGATGAATTTTATAATTTTTCTAAAAAGATTTATCTGTTGATGATGAGACTTGCAAACAATTTAATAATATAGTAAGATATTAGAAGTTTGCTGCATCTTTAACAAATAAATTAAAATTAGTTGTATGTCGATTATATGGGATTTGTATTAATACTGCTGCTATTGAGCACCTTTGGAGTTGTATAAGTTTTTTCCAAAACAATCGAAGAAATCAACTAATTGTAATTTTTTTTATTTTATTTTGTTTTTATATAAATTTTATAAATTTTTTATTTAATATTAAATAAATTTTTATTTAGTTGCAAAAGGCTCTTAATATAAGCAAATTAAAAGCTTCTATCACATGGAAACATTTACGTAAATCAATCCCTGATGAGATATTTTTGCCTGATTTTAAAGATGAAAATGAAACAATAAATAATAATCAACCAAATATTCAACCAAATGAAGAATCAAGTAATAAAGTTTCAGGACCTAATGAATTTGCAGAACCTGCAGAATCTGATAAATTTGCAGAATCTGATAAATTTGCAGAATCTGATGAATCTGCAAAATATAATGAATCTGCAAATCTTGCCTTGAATAAAAACTATAATGACAAGATGGAATTAATCTCTTTGGAAGAGTTTGGCTAATTTTTAGACATATAGGTCAACATCAGCAAATTTAATGAGGCGAAATATTTTGAAATAATTTACGAAACGTAAAAAAGCGTAATATTGCGTAAACTATTTCGAATTAATGTGAAATATCAAAATTACATAAACTTACGT